ACAAAAGAAAAAAAATAAATAGGACTACATCAAACTAATAATTTTTTGCACAGTGAAGGAAAGCATCAACAAAATGAAAAGCTACTAAATGGGAGAAGATATTTCAAATGATACATCCAATACAGAGTTATATATAAAATATAGAAGAAATTCATACAACTTAACCCCCCCCAAAAAAACCCCAAACAATCCTGAAAAAACAGGCAGAGGACCTAAACAGACATTTATCCAAAGAGGACATAGGGATGCCCACAGCCCTATGCAAAGGTGGTCAACATCACCAATCATCAGAGATGCAAATCAAAACCACAATGAGATACCGCCTCTCACCTGTCGGAGTGGCTGTCATCAAAAAATCAACAAGTAACAAATGCAGACAAAGATGTGGAAAAAAGGGACCCCTGTACACTGTTGATGGGCTTGTAAACTGGTACAGCAACTATGGAAAACAGTATGGAGACTGCTTAGAAAAATTAAAAGCACAGCTGCCATACAGCCCAGCAATTCCACTTCCAGTACCTATCCCGAGAAAACAAAAACATGAATTCAAAGACACACGCACCCTCACATCCACTGCAGCATCACGTACAAGAGCCAAGATAGGGAAGGAGCCACGGTATCCATCATCAATTGATGAATGGATAAAGAAAATGTGGTATATATACACATAGAATAAAATATTATTCAGCAACCAAAACGAATGAAATTTTAACATTCCAACAACATGGATGGACACAGAGTATTAAGCTAAGTGAACGCAATTGGACAAAGAAAGGCCAATACTGTGTGATTTTACTTACATGTGGAATCCAGAAACACTCAACAGAAACCTACCCATAGATGTAGAGAACATGATGACGGTTACCAAAGGAAGGGGAGAGGGAACATGGAGGAAAAAAAGTAGCGTGGCCACTAAAGCTTCCATCCTCTGCCAATGGGAACACATTCAAAATTCAGGCCACATTCAAGTCAGTCCTGGTTCTCACTTTTCACAGGGCTTCTCCCTGCTCCTGCACCTGTGCCCACAACCTGGCGGGGGGTGGGGGGCCTGTGGCCCGCCCCAGTCCGGCAGAACCCTCACACCTGACTCAGCAGGGAAAAGACAGTGGGCACAGCCCCGGGCAAGTGTGCCAGAGAGTGCCGCTGTTCTTTCCCAAAGTTCCACTGTTTTTCAAGCATAAACACTTTTCAGATTTCTGTATTTCTCTGATCAATTTCCAGGAGACTGAGATGGTTGTTTTTGCCAATTCTATCTAAGTTTATACTGTCCTTTTCGAGGAAAGAATTTGCCAACTTCCTCATCCACCATTGAAACCTCAAAGTATTTCCATAGCAAGTACTTTTTTCACAAAATTTAGCCAACTGTAACTAAAATATTTAAACAATTTCCTTACATTAATGATTCTGTACATACAGAAAATCCCGCTATTCAGATTTAAACCCAACTTCTACTTCTTCTTTTTCCTTTATTTCTATTTTTCTCCCATTCATGCTTCATTCATTCCATTATTTGTGTGAAAAGTATCGACTGACTTCCTACTCCACGCCAGGCCACTGCTTTCCTGAGCCCCTTTCTTCATATCATCATCAGCTGCCTCACCCTGACATTGGCAACCCTGCGATTCAACTGCACGCCTCACCACGTTACAGATCACTGCATGTCATGAACCCTCGACACTGTCCCGTCAACAAGAATAACGAAAACATCTGTGTGGCGCTCACTGTGTGCTAGGCATTACTCTAAGTGCTTCATGTAGGTTGATTCATTTAACTCACAATTCTATGAATATCTACCATTACTTTCTCTGTTTCAGAGATGAGAAAACAGAGACCCAGGGAAGCATGAAGTAGCAAGGACAAGACTTGAGTTCAGGTGCTACGGCTCCAGAATCCATACTCTCAACGCTGTTACAGCATCTCCCGGGTGTGTGTGTGATCAGCACACATCAAGAATGCAGTGCTTCACCCTGATGTGACCAAGCCCACGAAGGCAGTGAGGCTTGCACTTCAAACACCGGTGCTCACAGTCTTTTAACTTGAAATTACTGTACCTAGCCCTGGCTGGTGGCTCAGTGGATTGAGTCTGGGCCTGTGAACCAAAGGGTCACTGGTTCGACTCCCAGTCAGGGCACATGCCTCGGTTGCGTGCCAGGACCCCCAGGAGGGGGCGTGCAAGAGGCAACCACACATTGATGTTTCTCTCCCTTTCTCTCTCCCTTCCCTTCTCTCTAAAAGTAAATAAAATCTTAAAAAAAAAAAAAAAAAAGAAATTACTGTACCTAGCACTCAAAATGACTCCTGTTATTAAATCTAACTCCTCTAAGAAATACCGACTTATCAGTTGCTAAAGTGTTAGGAGAAAAGCTATTATAAAACAAAATAAGAGTAACCTAAATGTATCAAACCCATTTTCAAAATCAGGTAATTCATGTCTACTGACTGAAATGTGGAGGGTATCAGAAACTCTAATATAAATTTGAAATGTCAAATATTGGTAAGAATTCACTATAATTATAGTATATTTTTTACAATTTCAGGAAACACATAAGTTCTTTCTTCTTTGTTACAATGGGCTTCTCCTCCACCATTCTATCTAAAACATGACCTCATTATAAAATTCTAATAGAAGTTCACGTTTTCATTTTACTAAAAGTCAATTCACTTAGTTCATGGACTCTTCTATACATTTGCAAGAACAAATCTGTAGGCCAAGTATGACTGTTTCTCTCGTGACCATCTTGCTTATTCCACCACTTTAATTACTACACCAGGCTTCAAGAGAGAGCACGCGAAGATTCCACTGCTTAATAGAACGTGTCAACCAGGGGCAAATCCAGGACGGTCACTGCCAACCTCCTCGTTCCTGAAGAAGAGGCAATAAAGCTGAGCGATAAAGACACAGAAATTTGTTTTGAAGGGTTTTTCCCTCATATAATGATCTTTCAACGGACAGAGCAACTATGTCATAATTAACTAAACGTACACCGTGAAGTACAAACACATATGCTCCGAGGCTTTGTAAAATGTAAGGAGCTGTTTTAAAAACTGCATTTAAAACGCAACTATGTTTCCTTCGGTACCAGTCCCTTGACTGAGACGACTGAACCATGGGAGCAGGGCTTTCTGAAACCTGGAAACAGCAAGGAGCAGACAGGCTGAAGGGGAAATCTCCCCAAAGCAGAGTAATTATTTCCAAATAAATCATTTTGTGATTTTCTTTGAATGACCTCTATGACCTGTGAGGTAGTGGAAGAGGAAAGTAAAGTGACAAATTGCTAATTGCGCCAAGAGACCCCTTTTCCCTTTCCTGACGATGCTTCCGCAACATGAGTGGCAGTTTCCTTAGAGGCCAATGGCAGAATGCTGAGCTGCTACTACATGCGCTTTAAGTATCTATATTTGGGGATTTAACACACCTTAAGCCTAGACTCCTTTACTGCATAATTCTAATAAAGACGGGAGCAGCAGACCTTTATCAATTAATACAAAGAATTCTATTCGCGTCATTATACAGGGTGGGGCAAAAGTAGGTTAACAGTTGTGAGTACAAGAAACAGTTTATTCTTATATTATTTATTATTATTTTCCATATAAACATGTTGACCTACTTTTGCCCCACTCTGTATGACACTGACTACTTCTTTAAGGAAGAGAAACAACAAAAAAAAATAGCAGTTGCTATCCTTCCTGAGGTTATTTACCAACAAAAATTTTTTCAATTTACCTTTTTTGTGCCACAACAAATGGGATGAAATCAAGTGAGTAGCTGTCCTTTTCCCCATTCGAATGAAATGTTTTCTATGTCTCCCCGTTATCTCCTACCCCTTTTGCAAAGGGCTCGGGTATTCTCACTCCAGAATTTCCACCCCAATTACACTGCTTTATATTTTCAGAATGTTTGTGAAGTGCAATTCTGATCCGTTCACTCTTCTGCACAAAAACTCCACATTTTCGTTCCTGAGTTAAACATTATCACTCACCCTGGGGTTCATGAAAGTAGAACCCCACGACAGAATCCCAACTTCTCTTTCCACGTTCATCTGCTACCATTATTCATCCCTATACTTATCCTTCCACTCTAGACAAACCGAACTTCTGATTTCCCAAATTGCATCCTTTAGATTTCATCCTTTGTTGAAGCTGATCGTTCCATGCAGCTATTCCTCCCACATCCGTCCCTGTTGTGCCGAAAGTCAGTCTAAGGCTCCACAAAAATAACACCCACCACACAAAAACCTTCCCAACGCTACCACGGCCTCCACAGTAACCCCTCCTTAACTTCACTTGCCAAAGTTTTCTTCAAACCCAGGCGACAGCCTTCGCCACGCCCATCTGCGACACACTGATCTCCGTCTCACCTGTACAGCGTACAGCCCAGGCCGTGCGTGTCTGTGAATGGAACCACAATCGCTCTTCAACAGGACACTAGGTATTTCGTCTTCTTAATGTATTAACCCCTCACTTTTTAAAAAGTTTTGTTTTCCCTGATCAAAAAAACATTCATGTTTCTCTAAACAAAAATTTCAGTTCTTGACCTTGTGCAAATAGCCTTTCCCATTACAGTTTTAATGAAAGTGTACGGATCCCGGGCCTGACAGTGACTGCCACAGCGCTGCCACCCTTGGGTGTGCTCACCAAATCCAGTGTTCAGACCAGAGGGGCATTTTCAATGCAGGGAATCGGTGTAAGAAGCTCACTGCAGTTTCAGGCCTATGCCTGGGAAAAGCAATACTGAAATCTCATGCCTACACAAATATGCAAAATTAACTAAACATTAGCCTGAATTAAAAAAAATTAATACCAATAAGCTTTACCTGCTCTCTCGAACCTCACCAATACTTAGATAACAGCAGAAATCTAAAGATATACAGTATTAGTTCTGAATTTGTAACTAGTAATGGATCTTTCCTGCCCAAAACTAATTTCTTGCAGGTTTTGGAGCTGCAGGCTCTACTAACTTGCATGGCGGACACACTTGGCCAATAGGTCAATCATGTTACCTGCTGAATGAGTGAGCGAGCCTCTTCAGAGACACATTCCGGCATGTTCAAAGTAGTGTGAGTGGTTATTCCTGCCGGATGGCACTCGACCAGCGTCTGAAACAGTCAGTCAGGCACACTGCTTATCCCAGGACATAAGGCCAGCGCACACAGAGAAAGCGACCATGATTTACCAGAGCTGTGGTGTTCAACAGTGCTGCCCAGGCAGTTTAGGACGAGGGTGCTAAAGCTATAAAACCTCCGACTGGATGGAAAGCAATCAGCAAAATCACATCAGAAGCTGATGCTACCAGCCCTTTTCCCTTAGTTACAAAAAAAATAGCTCATAAGTAGGAGAGCTTAGATTACATATGAAAATTAAAAGGGCCCGTAGGCCGGTGTGGCCCAGGAGTTTGGGCACCACCCTGCAAACTGAAACGCCAGATCAAACCCTGACCAGTTGGATTCCCGGTCAGGGCCTGGGCCTGGGCCTGGGCTGCGGGGTTTGGTCTCCGGTTGGAGCAGCTACAAAAGGCAGCCAATCAATGTTTCTCTCTCACATCGATGTTTCTCTCCCTCTCTTTATCCTTCCCTGCCTCTCTCTCTAAAATCAATAAAGATAAAAATGTAAAGAAAACTAAAAAGGGGCTTTAGATATCACTAAAATTTGTAATGTATTAATAATCTTCAAATATTAGAATCTGTTAATAATGATACATTATGTCTATATAGCACATTATGGTATAACCGCATGTATAGGTGAATTGTAAATTCTACAACTATCTTGGGAATTCAGTCTTATGTACATATTTAAGGTACGTGATGACTTATAAAAATATGACTGCTCATTTCCTGTTTTCTTCCCAAGAGGCAGTCTGTACAGTGCTCTATGAAAGTCAATTAACCTCAAGTGTCTTTCTTAAAATTTACTGATAAGTTTAAATTCAGTCCTTAAACTAGCACACAGGAAAAATTTACAGTATTGAGGAAAAGGATGTTACTTTTCATAGCTATATTAATTTTCTAAAATGAGAATTCCCTCTTGACTCCAGACGAGATGCTTAAAATTCACCCAGAGAACTCTAATACATCCTGGCATGTACCGTACAGACAGAACTCTGTTCCAACTGAATCATAAAAAATGAAGAGAAAATATGTGTAGTCTTCTACCCTACTGTGTGCTAACACTGTGACATAACAGAATTTTACCATCAATTTATTCAGTGTAGTACAACTCTATTTTTGTAAAAAAAAAAAAATCTGGGATCTTGATAAACGTATTTCTCAGAGGTTTTCTTACCGAGTCCCTGATCTAAAAACTAAAGGCAGAAGCTAAACATTCTCAGCTCGAAATCAAGGGAGCAGCTGGTGAAGCTTATTAAGTGTCCGGGTCACTGCTTACCTTGCCAGTGAGAAGTTCAAAGAGGACGGCACCCAGACTCCACCAATCGCAGGCTTCGGTTTCTTCAGTGATTGCTCCAACCTCTACATATACCAAAAAAGGTTGCCATTAAAATTCCGAAGGTCAATTAAACTTCTGAAATTAACATGTATAAGCAAGGTGACCTTTTTAATGCTGAGAGAGCACATACTAAATACTACTGGGCTTTCAAAATTCCTGAAAGTTACTTCTCCCTTTGGTCACCTACTGTGGTTGCATTTTTTTTTCTGACACAGTCATATATTAAACCGAGACGTTTGTTCTTTGGTTGATAGAGGGACACCTTCAAGATGCTATACTTAAAAGTTACATGAATCTACTAGATTAGCATTTTGCTTAATTTTTCAAATTTGAGACAGTATAGCCAACTCTGCCTCAGAGGTCATGTCTTGTTTTAACATAAAAACCCTAGGTTCAGAAGAAACTGCAAAAATTGTTTAAACCAGTATTAATTATCCTTGTGCAGATTAGAAACCAGAGAGGTGAAATGCCCTGTCCGATGTCACATAATAGATCAGTAGGAGAACTCAGACCTAGCTCACAGTATCATCCCTCCCCCACATAACCAATTGATTTCAACTACAGAGGGAGCGGGTGCAATGCAAATTTACCCATTTTGTTATTACAAGTACAGAGATGTGTTGTCTTAAGTCACCACTGAAACTACTGGCTAAGATAAGGGATTGTAGAGTGTCTACGAATTACAATTTTATCTGTGTTACCTCTATCTTGGCAGCACAGGTGCCTTAAATGTGAGTTTGCAGGAATCCACTTTTAAGTTTCTCCACAAATCAGCAAAAACTCCTCACTTCACCACTTCTGAGGCGTTTAGTCCTTAAGTCATGTTTGACATATTCTTGTCCTTTCCTAATGGCATTCAATTAATCACTAAGCCTTATCAATATCTGCCCGTTTGTATTCGAATGACAAAACACACTCATTGGTGGTCTGCAGGTAACCCACAACTCATACCAATGATCTTCTAAAGCCTTGGGGTAGAAAGAAAAAGATCAATACTAGAAACAATACAATGGCAATAAATACATATCTATCAACAACTGAATCTAAAAAACACACTAAGCAAACAAGAAGAACAGAGACAGAATCATGGACACAGAGAGTGGTCTGATGGTTGGCAGGTAGTGAGGGCAAGTGGGTGAAGAGGTGAGGGGACTGAGAAGTCCTCACAAACAGGCCATCACAGAGTAGCCACGGGGCCGCACAGTACAGTACAGGAAATGCAGTAGCCAAAGAACTTACTTACAGTCATGAGCCACGGACTGGAACAAAGGGGTGGGGACTGCCTGAGGGGGTGGGGGTGTTGGGGGGAGGGGGGAAAAGATAGAAAACTGGGACAACTGCAACAGTAAAATCAATAAAATATAATTTAAAAAACAAAAGTAAATAAATAAACGTGCGTACTTATATAAAGAAGAAAAAGGAAGAAGAAAGTAATAACTGGAAGTGGTGCTCAGGCACCCAGTCTTTCAACTGATACTTAGTAAATCTGTGTGTGGGAGAACCATAAAACTTACAAAATAGCTCAAGCTTTAAGTCTTGAAACTAAGATCAGAGAAAGAAAAAAGAGCCACTCCTGTGTAAGACACTGCACGCAGCCCACTTCGGCAGCCTTCGTCCTTACGCCTGCACCCTCACTCTCCTCCCGGGTTTCCTGACTTACACAGACCTACGCCCTTCACGCCAGCCCCTCCCCAGCCTCCCACCCCCTTCTCCCACAGAGCTTCACGCCAGGCCACACCCTCCCTTCTCTAACTAGCTGCTCTCACACATCTATTGTGTGCACAACCAAGTCCCCTAATCCTCCTAGATCCACTGGCATTTATGAAACTGCAGCTCATTTTAAAAACTGAGAACTCTAACAGTGGAGACTTAATGATATACAGCGGCACTCCCTATGATGGAATACTTCTACATAATCATTTAAGATGATGTCTTCATGCAAAGTGTCAAGTGTCTAAGTCAACATCTGGTTATATTAAATTAAAAAACAAAAACAAGCTCTAAAACATCAGAATTCTATTTTAAAATTGCACATTTACACAAAAGACTGGTGAGACAATATGACAAAATGATTTAGCGATTTGCCTCTGGGGTAGTGATATATTTATTTTCATTCCATACTTATTAACCAGCGTGAATATCTAAATGGCACAATGTGAAATGTGCAAAAAGATGACATGAAAACACTGAGGCTTGTCGGGGCGGGGCAGGCAGCTCTACCCTTCCCTGGAGGCTGCTCACCCACAGCCTGACTGTCAGTCCACATCGCGGGAAGCACAGACGAGCAGTCCAGCGTTCTGGACTCAGAGTCTCGAGGAATCACTCGTATCATCCACAACGTGTGGGCTTAGATCTGAGATCAGTGACCTCCTAAAACAGTGATTCTCTTGAAGGGCAATTCCCTCCTGGTTTCTCATCAAAGTGCTCAGGGTGCGCTCCCAGATTCAAGCCCACTGCTTCCACACCCACCCCATCTGCCTGCAGAGAACCGCCATCTCCTTCAAGTGTGCTCTACAAGCCCGGAAAGGGTGTATGTCCTTAGAAACTTGACAAAAGTGAAAGGAATGTACCGTGCTCATCAAACACAGCTTTCTGCACGTTTCCTCCCAGTTTTAATAGTCAGCATATCCCTTTTCTACTCAAAATTCTGATATGGCCTCTCACTGACCAGTAATTAACATTCAACTGTCCAGCTTAGTCGGGCGTGCGTACAATCGGGCCTCCACTATGAGGTCTCAACCCAGGAGTCGTTCAACCAGCACGCGTACGCGGCTCAGACTAGGCCACTCTTCATCCACAGAACCCCACGTGCTGGCCACACTGCTGAACAGTGCAACACTAATGCCGCTTTTCCTGCTGGCATAGCTGATGGTTATATCTTTCACTATGTTGCTGCTCAAGAATTTAAGTGATTCCATTTTCTTTAATCCTACAGCAAGTAGTACACGTTCCATAGTTTTATAATAAAGGTGACCCCTGTTCACAAGTCGAGACCTAACGTTATTGGTCAGCCATCTGTTCTGAGCAGGACGCCACCAAGTCCACCTTTCCATGGATGGTCTGTTGCTTGGCTCATAGTAGGCACACAACACAATGATGATAATTGCAACAAAATAGCAGCTAACACTTGCCGACTGCCTACCATGTGAAAGGAACTGCGTCTAATATTTTACATGCATTATTTAAAATCTCCAAGCAAACTGTGGAGAATGTATTTGGGTCGGGTGACTTTGGAGAAGAACTCATGTAGTAATTGAGTGTCCTGGGAAAAGAGGAACCTCAGACCCAATCAAAAGTTGAGAAAATTAGTAAGATGGTTGTATAGCGTCTAACAACAGGTGCTGGAGCTCTGGACTAAAGCCCTACGCTGAGCCTCTGCTCAGAAAGCTTTCCTGTCAGAACAGAGCAGAGGGTCACTGAGGTAAGTTTGTCTAATGCAAACCATTTATAAAGGCTCCTTTTAAACTCAGCCAAAGGTCCAAGTGCCAGCACCAGTGTAGCCTAGACCATCGAAAGTTACATATTTACGCCAGTTACCCACATCACTGCTGGTACGCTCCCCTGGTGGGGGGGGGGATGAAATGTGTCACCATCTGTGTGCATGTTGTGGGGGGGGTCCCTGAAACTACCAAATAAGCACAGTACATCTTCCTGAGCATAAAGATTTTTATACGTGTGAAAGGGGGTGGGTATTGTTTCACTATTAAAAGAAACACTGATCTATTATGGAAGAGAGTATAAAATTTGCATGGATTGCGAGATAAAAGGCTTCAAAGTAACTTCAGGATCATATTTCCCTGGTCCCCCGGCACTCACTGCACATCACCTCTGCAGGCAGAAGGACTTGAGCAGGAAAGTTTGAGAGGAACTTGATGAGACCGACAAGATGTATTCCTTTATTGGTTTCTGTGGACTTGTTCAGCGAAGGAGTCTAAGAACTAGTTTCGCTGGTTCTACGCTCCTGTGAAATCCCTGCAATGTTCTGCCCAAGTCCTTAACGAGTAGATAATGATCAAAGGTGAAGTGCCACAGCGTGTGATGAGTCCCAATCCGAATATCCCCCAACATTTTAATATTATTACAAACTAGCCCCTAATCTAATACTCAGATTGAAACTGTAAAGCTTTACTCTGAAATTGCACCGCCAAAAAGAAGCCTGAGGTCACATGACTGTCAAAAACCCAAGGACTTGAACTAAACGGGTGGGGGGAGGTGTGCAGGGCAGAGGGGAGGAAATGGGACAACTGTAATAGCATAATCAATACAATGAAAGAAAGAGAGAAAGAACGAAAGAAAGAGAGAGAGAGAAAGAAAGAAAAACTCTGAAACTGCTTCACTTGCAAAACCTACAAAATACTTAAGCATAAACCAAGAGTACTACTGATTTACACAGGGTCCGGCAGAAGTGAGGCCTGCTTGAGTGTGGTTGGCAGGGTGTAATAATTTATCATTTTAATTAGAGCATTTCACCAAAAAAGTCACACAGTGTGATATCGTTATATTACAGAATTACATGCTTATGATGGTGTCCTAAAAGAGGGGCGCTATTTGTGCCAGTCCCTGTCTCCACAAAGCTACGTGACAGCTACTACAAACACCAGCTGACTGGTCAGGCACATGGGCCACACTTCAAAAGCAGAAAACTTAAATACCAAATAAATGTGTGAGGCTATTTTAAACAAGGTAGAGCTGAGAAATCTCTTTAAACTCCTACCTTAAGTGTTTTTAATCTCTGAAAAATAAAAGCAGAAATGCGTTTTAAAGGATCGATTCTACCCCCGTTTTGTCACTTCTCCAACTATTTTTCCTACAAAACCCGACACGTCAAGCTTCCGAGCCCGTCCCAGCTACCCACTGCATGCTGCACTCGCCTTCCCAGCGCGGCAGAACCGCAGCCTCACTCCACAAGTGCAGCGGGACGGCGGGCATCAAGCACAGTGATCAGGAGGGAAAATAAACTACTCCCTAAGAAAACAAACACATTCTCACTGTATCCCCACACAAAAAAAGACATTCTCTTGCT